TAACTCATATTGTGGGTCAACAAGTACATCTGCAACAGAATGACGATCGTCATTGCTAGTTGATGATTAGACTGCACACAATAAGACCATTGTTAGTAATATATTTGAGTTCTAGAAGTTGAATCCTCTCATTTTTTAGGGTTGTCTGATCCAATGATTACTGAGAGTTAGATAATGTAGATTGAGAATATCTTTACTGTGTTAGAAGTTGATAATGAGGAGGAGGTACATTTAGTTGCACTCATGTTCACCAGTGATGTAAAACCCAAATAAAAATAAAAATTTTATTTATTTATTTTTATTTTTATTTATTTATTTGATATTTAATTTAATTTAATTTAATTTAATTTAATAAAAATAAAAATAAGGGTCGTTACAAGTGAGGCAGAGCAATAATGGAGAATGGACAGAGAGACTTTGCTTGTTCCTATTACCTGGGAGAGATTTCTAGATGCCTTTTACTAGAGTGTCATTTCAATTTAGGTTCATAAGAAAGAAGAAGAATTTCAGGATCTTAAGCAGGGATAGTTTGATATATATGATCGTGTGGCCATGTTCAAGCCAGGTACATATGTCGAGGTATTAGAAAATGCCCACTTGGCAAAAAAATCACTTATTGTCATATTTAAACAAGCCAGTGGGTCTCAACTTTCTAATCATTTGAAAAAGAAACAGCCAGCTCAAGATCCAATTGATAAGCGATCTAGAGTTACTCCTGTTACTGCCCGACCATCATCAGGTACTGTTACTCCTTTTGGTCCTATATGTAAACATTTTTGAAATAGACATGGCAATTGCCCCTGTTATAAGGCAACCACTGCCTGCCATTATTGAGGGATGACAGGGCATTTTGGGAAAGATTATCCCTAGGAGGTTCACAAATCAATTATCAGGGGATATGTGTATCAGTTTACTGAACCTGATGCTGAGGCCACAACAATAGTCAGTGAGGGTATGCTTTCTATTTATGACTCTTTTTGACATGACTTAATTGATTCTAGTCTAACTCATTCATTTATTTCATCTAAATTTTCTAAGTGTCTTATTGTTAAACCTATATCCTTATATAAGACTTTAATAGTTAAAACACTAGCAAACGATATTTTAGTACCAAACTTAGTATACAAATCTTGCAAGGTTAAGGTGGCAAGTAGGGAATTAATCGTACATCTTTTACTGTTAGACTTCCAAGGCTTCAATGTAATTTTGGGCATGGATTGAATAGCTACCTATCACACCACACTAGATTGCTTCTATAAAACACTCGTATTCCATCCTCCTAATAGTGAGCCTTACTTGTTGTAAATAATCTTACATAATCAATAAAAATAATATTATTTTGTGTGCTGCATTTCTTAAATTATAATTAACTATTACTTCCATAATAAAGTTTTTGTAACTGAAGTTTAAATTCCTAATAAATTTTTCTTTGAAACTAAGAAAAATGAATTATGAGCCCGATATCCACAACATTCCTATTGTGAGAGATTTTCCAGACATATTCCTTAATAGCCTACTAGGCATGCCTCCAGAAAGGAAAATTGAGTTCCCCATTGACCTATTACCAAGTACAGCACTGATTTCTAAAACATTGTACCAAATGTTTCGAGCTGAACTAAAAGAATTGGGTAGTCAATTACAAGAACTTCATAACAAAGGGTTTATTTGACATAGTACTTTTCCTTGGGTTGCTCCAGTTATATTTGTGAAAAAGGAAAAAACTTTTCATATGTGTATTGCCTACCGGGATCTAAATCTGGTAACCACAAGAGTAAATACCCAGTTTTCAGGATTGATGATTTGTTTGATCAATTACAAGGTGCTTCCTAATCTACCCTCTTCACATTTCTTTACCATTCTATACTCACATATGTGTGTATTACCTTGATAATAGATTAAAATTATATAATTAAGTGTTATGTGCTTCAGAATATAAATGAATTTGTCGACCATACAAATATAGCACCATAAATTTTTATTAAAAATTATAGAAACAAAACTTAGAGAATCACAATCACTTAATAATTTTTTATTTAAATTAGTGATTTAAGAATAAAAAATACATAACAAAAATTAGCTAATTATTTAAATTTGAAACTATAGATGTTTCACATTTTTATGTACACACATAAAAAATGTGTGTGGTAAAGTTGAATTTATTTTTTTTTATTTTGTCATAATACTATTATATAAGAGAACTTAATCAAAATCTTTACAAGATATCAAGATTTTTATTCAGTAGAAATTTGTAATATGCAACCGGATTTTTTTTTTATTTTCAACTGTCTTTGTTATTTTCTAATAAACAATAGTTTATTAAACAATTGGATATTTTTTCTAATATTCAAAAGTCTTGGCTTCATGAAAAATATGATCATTAATTATTTTTTTTGTTAAGTATGAATTCTTGATCAACATACACAATTTTTTATTTCATCCCTAAATTCTCATTGTTTCTTTTCACTGATTCTATATTTTTTATTGATTAATGTGATACATTTGTTCGTTTCTTTTGAAAAATTTGTTATAGTTTACAATAATGTTATTAGTTATTTTGTATAATATTTTAGTTTAAATCATATATTTATATACCAATATATAAAAATAGGTTAAATTTTAATATTGAAAACAAGATCAAATTGTTAATGTAATGACCAAAAAAAATTAAACATATATGGATGCTTTATGATTGATGAAGTTGATGGGTAAAATTTATAAATAAAATTGAAATTTTAAAAATTTTAATAAATTAAGAAAAATGGACCATAGAAACTCAATTGGAAAGTTGCTGAGAAATTTAAAGTTGTATAATCAATGACAATGATCTATTTCTCAAATTTCAACAGTTTGGATTTAATTAGAGAGGCTATAAATATAACTAGGGTTTTTCAAGAATATAGCAGCAAAAAAAAAAAATCCTAAGAGACTTAGGAGCCATTGGCCAAGGAAGGAAGGAGAGGGGGAGTAGTCGCACGAGCTCACTTTGTAAAGCGTACCGTCATTGATCCAAAGGCAAATTCTTTGCATTAGATGACTTCAATTAATTTTAATTTTATGATTGCAAGATATTATACCACCTAGGTAAGGGTAATGTGGTGGATGATGTCCTTAGGAGAAAAAATACATCCATGTTAGCTCATATAATGATTTCAGAGTGGCAAATGGCAAAAGTCAAATAGGGCTTACAACTGCAAGAAAAAAAAGTGTTACATATGAGCAAGCATTGATAATCCAGCCTGAGTTAATTCAAGAATTAAATAAGCTCAGTTGATCGATTTAACTCTATTTGCCAGTATAAAGGACACATAACAAGGTTTAAAGCTAGAATTAGAGTCTCAGATGATATTTTCTCTCAAGTTCCAAGACAAGTTGTGTATTTGTGAATG